CCCGTCCAGAGTTGCCATTGCTCGCTTTGTAATCGTTGAGGTTTTTAATCGAAAATTCTTTAAGTTTCGCAAAATATGAAATAGATAATAAAACAAATTCGAAATTCAAAATTCGGACTTCCAAGTGTCCATGTTCTGTTGGAAGACTTCATTATTCAAAATTTAATGGCTCTAGGTACCGTTGTTTTTTCACGATGAGAGAAGCAGTCATGCAGATTCTTCATTATTTAATTTCTTTAAATTTTCTTTAAATATAATACATGGCGATAGTATTTCGTGGCAACAGCTTGAAAAGTATATCGACGCAAAATGCCGTTTTAAATTAATAGCCCTTCTGGGCTAACGCCCTTTGAGCTAAAATTCGCCAGTAAACTAGCCCTCATAGAAAAAATCTATATATATTTGGAGGAAGGGGGAAAAATTATGCGAAAACTTTAAATATTTTCCGAATCTAACGATAGAAAGCTAAGGGGAGAATACACGTGAAAATAAGGTACTATTTTATTTACGAATTTATTAAAAAATAAAAGATGGACTCAAATGCGAAATTATACATCAACTGGCAAGTTATTAATTAAATTCCTGGGTCAGTTTTACCTAAAAATTATAATGGTTAACAAGGCTACAATAACAGAAAGATATTCTTCAACACTGCGTCTTAATGAATGCTTTGTTATACGAAAAAAATCACCATTCTAAATCAGTTTGTATCAGATCTCAATAAGCAAATGAAATGCATAAGCAATTAGCAAAAAAAAGGCGAACACTAATTGAATTATTTCCGATGAAAGAATAACATGAATATTTATAAGGCGAAAATACGATACATTCGAGGGAGGGAATTTGAGCTTTTAAGTTATTATCAAAGTGTCTTTTTTTTTTCCTTCTTAGCAAAGATCAAGAATAAGCTAATGGACTTTTCAGCTGAGTATCTTAAATCTCAGTTTAATATGCATAAGAAGCCGCGGTAGAAATTCTTTGGGTTTTATCTCTGTGATTCTTTTTCGTGTTTGTTTGCTTCTATTTTCGCCATTTTACTTATCTGCATTTTATTTTCTTATTTATTTCGGGATGCTTGTAAGTTCGCCTATCTACTTAAAATATCCACATTTCATTTGACATTTTCATATTCACAGACTTTGTAATTTTAATTAAATAGTGATTTTTGAGAGGTATATAATAGCGCAGATACTTTCGGTTCTTAAAATATGTTTTTCTCTTAAAACTAAAGAAATTAATTAAGCAATCTATAGCATAGGTACGCGCTTAATTTAACTTAAGGTATTTTCTCATTCATTTCAAAGACTAAAAGGAATTGATAATAGGATTTCTTTATTCCTTATTATCAAGCCACTTGCGATGTCAACCGCCTAAAATAGTTATTATAAAAATTAAAAATATACAGTAGGCGCCAGGTGATCACGTTGTCCATAGCTATTTTGATGATATTAACGGAATTATAACATTAAACGATGAGAAAAATGTTCCTCAAAACAGCAACGGAATTTAGTTATTTTAATATAAATATAACTAGAAACATCTGAATAGATATTTTAACAGTACTTTAATTAGAAAATACAAAATCTTCTTTGTAAACCATTCTTCTTTAATGTGAAGTTTCGTTTATGAACCATTCATACAACTATTCATTTTAATACATCAAGTAATCTTTATTTAATATTTAAAATTCGTAATTTAAATCACTAAAATCTTTTTCCTTTTTATATGATAATAATGTCTTACCTTTTCATCTCGTCAAAAAATCGCCAAACTGCACCAAGCTGGTTGCATTAATATTGTTGCGTGCTTACAGGTTCGTAATAGACTGAATGCACATTGGTCCGATGATAGGTTGATGAAATTTATTTTATGAGAAGAAACAGTTCAGAGTTCTGGAACTTTCTACAGAAACACTCTCACAGGTGTTCACAGTATCACAGGTATAAACAGTAGTTACACTTGAGGCTACCGAAAACGTTAAATACAACGCAAGGCAAAGCGCATTTAAAAGCCGAAGCTTTCAATACTGCGAAGTCGCTCTAAGCTAACAACTCAAAACAATAACTGAGAGCAGATACTCTCTCCGATTTTATATAGTTTTCGCCCTCCGTCTAGAAATGTCTAGTACATCCCGAAATTTTTGGAAGGCATATGAGGTAGTGTACGGTTGGAGTTTCATATGAAATCAATTACAGTTATTCATTTGCAATACCTATTACGATGATACAGAAATCGAACCAAAACGTCGCCAAATGGTTGCCAGGTTTTACGATTTCTCGCCAAATTAGCGAGATAGCCATTTATTAGATATTAAATAGGTTTCCCCGCGCATTCTTATTTTTCCGGCAGAGCATCCTCTCTCTAGATTTTCATGTTACATTATTCGGAAAAAATACAACTTCACATACAACTGCACTAAAATCATCTACCTAGGTATAGAATTCGTAACAGTCTAATAGGATGTTTGCCATTAACTAACTTTCGATTTATAATATTTTTAGCATAACATATTATGCATTTGTGCTGAATTAAGTTTAATTGCATATTATTTAGGTATTGAAAAGTTATTGATTCTGGCTTATTTATTCATTTAATATCATCATTGGACAGGTGTTTACACTAGTGAAGTATTTAGAAGTGATTAAAATTTTGGAATGCTGTAACAATACTTTGATTGTAACTGTAATTCTATTTTTAATCTTCATAAATAGTGATCAGTTCTTCCATTAATCAGCTTGCATACACCTTTTTGCTAACTCAAAAATTAATCAAAGCGTTTCAATTACAGCGTTTTAAAAAATTTCCTTTTCCAAAGAGAGAATAAATAAAACTACTAAAACTGGTATTTTCAGCTTGAGTTTGATTTTCATCTTGAAATCAGGTAGTTATTGATTAGAACGTCTTCTGATTTTTTCTTCAGCTACGCTGCACAATTTTTTTATGTTTAAATTTGGAAATTTCTTATTAGAAATTTATCTTTGGGAAGATTTCATATTTTTCATCGCCAAGTTCAAAAGTTTTGTTCTCTGTTAATTTCTAATATATTTTTCAAATTATTACTTTTTAATTTAAATTTTAATGTTAGTTAATAGTATATATTTTACTTTTGCTTTATTAGGCATTGAATTTACTTCATTTAATTTTTTTTCATTTTTATTTCATATAAATGAGAGCGACAGTATAGAGGAGGTATTCAGAATTTTCTGATTCACTATAACGATGATTCATCAACTAATTGTGGATGAACAGAAACAAGATGTTTTCCTGGGAGGTGGGGCTCAATTGAATATGATCTACCTTTTCTCGATAACGTTAAATCAGATTTTAGTTGTATTCCTTTTCTTATTATATGCATTTTAAAGTATTTCTGCTGTTTTTGGGATTTCTTCTGGTTAAAAATCAGTGAGTTGATGGGTTTTTCTTTATTCTTAGATATATATATATATTACTATATATTTGGGGGGGGAGATTTAGGAATTTTACTGGTACTAAATTTCATTTCTTTTCAGTCATTGTGGTTTGGGTTCAAAATTTCTTACTTTGTTTCTTATTTTTGTTCTAAACTTCTTACTTTATTTATATGTATATGTATAAGTATGTATGTATGTGTATTATATGCTACACTACTATTTTTATAATTTTGTGTTCCATGAAAATATGGATTTGTTAGGGCTATATCACACATTCAATATATTTCGGAAAGAAAACTATTTAGTATAATTTTTCTGCTTTGTTATGCGATATGAAACAGCAAATCACCGCGAACCGTTTTTGTTTCAGCATTTAGAGGGGAAATTAATTCTGAATTAGAAATTATATTTGATTACAGAAGATTCAATGCTGAGAGTTGATTGATTGAAAATTAACAACTTGATAATTTTTCTCGAAAGGAAGATAATTTCGTGCGTCTGTATTCAATGGCAAAGCAAATAGAAGAACAATTTGAAACAGTTATTCGTCTGAAATAAATAAATGTGGGATACCAACCATTGTGTTTCTGTCATCTAGTTATATTTTACGCCAACATTTATGACTGATGCTTAGCGCCCTTTTAACAGAAGATTACAAAACTGTGCGCTTGGAAACTAAATTAGAAATATTTTCCTGCTTAAAATGTCTTGCAGAAAGTTTTCTACAATTAACTCAAGTCATAAAAATAGCATAATTCGTGAAAACATTTGCATAATGTGCAAAAATAAGTGCACTGGATATTACTTACTTTTTTATTAAATACTATAATGTTAAATAAAAAAATAAAAAAATAACTATAATGTTAGTCAAACACGTAGGAATGCAAGGTATAATAAAACGGTTGAATCTTAATGAACGGGTATCAATATTCCATTGGTAAGTAACACTCCTTTTATTCTCTATTTTCCTTTAAATAGATCATATGGCCTTTCTAAAGAATCACTTTGAAGCATTATTCCAAATACATCAAAGGAGATTAAATAAAGGACTGCTATCTCTTGACGTAAAAAATGTGAATATAGCTACCGAACTTCTGTCTATGATGGTTAATGAGGAGAGGTTGTTTATGTTTCGTCTGAGGAATTAAACTTATATAAAAGTAGTATTTTAGGAATTTCAGTTTATAGTCATTTAAGTTATCGGAATACTTATTGCCATTTATACAAAACTAATCCTCTTATCAAATGTGTGTCGGCCATATCTTTAAATAACGGTAGTTCCATTCTTTAAAGATTAAAGTTAAGCGAAATGCAGTTTTGTCTTTTGTTCGAGTACTCAATGTTTTAAATAGAATGATTATTAAAACTGAATTATGTAAAGTGTTACGTTGCTCCCCAAAAATATAATAAAATTTTCTTTCACACTTTGCCAGATATCATATTAGTACTAAGCAACTATTTTTTTTTAAGATTTGAAAAAACTGCTTTGCAGTTAATGCTAACAGATCTAGTCTTGTCTTCGAAAATTAACTGTATTATTATTATTATTATTTGTGAAATGTATTTTCATAATATTTTTTTTAATCTTAGCCCCAAGAAGATCTCCTCATGGCATCAGAGCAATCCCTTTGTCTTCTAGATCAGTTAATGTAACATGGCTGGTAAGAAATTATTTAACTTTAAAAAGACCTCTCAATGTTTATGATAATTTTTAAATTAAAACCTTAGTGTACCAAGAAATATAATTCAGTTTATGAGTTTCTTTGTTTCACTGTTTTTCCTTCTTTGCAAATGTGATTTACTGTATGTTGCGGAAATACGCAATATTTCCATGAAACGATGAAAGTGCATCTTAAGCCTAATTCAAGTGTTCTAAATCGAGTTTAAATTTTTGCCGTTGCGGATTAGGAATTCTCAATTAGTTAAGTATACCATTCTTTAACTAAATTATTGCTAATCACTTTCCATTTTAAATTTAATTAAGTAACAATATCCTCTTCTAGCAATACATATTTTTCAGATCATATTCACAGAAATAAAAAGAATTAGCTGTTTATTTTGAGAAGAGTTATTGATTTATGTATAAATTCCATTCTCTCGCTTAATTCTCAAATAACCCAACTGCAAATTTAAATTTTCTATCATTAGGCTTTAAAATAAAAATTTTATTAGTTACGAAATATGTTTTTCTTTCGCAAGTAGCTAATTATTTATATTGTCTGTTAGCATTTATTTACAAGCTATAAGGACAAGCTTCAGTATTAAGTGCGCTGAAATTTGTGTAGAAGAATTGCATGTTATCATTTATATTTAATGACGCAATATCCCTTTCTAACTTAAAAATAATGATATTGGTTTTAAAAATAATTTCTGTATGATTTCTTAAAACGTTTACTGGAAAGAAAAATAATACGCTGAGGATAATAATAAGAATGTTAATAAAATAAAGAAATTATCGTCCTTTACATTAAAATAAATAGTACTTTTTGTTTCTTACAGAAAATTCTATTAAGAGGTAATTCAAAGCGTTCAAATAATATACCAGAAAGTGAAGCAAAGCTTTCGATATTTACGAATTAGCTCAAACACCTTTAGTAGAAGTCGCTAAATTTTCAGTTTATGTGCTAAACTTTGGCAACCATGCACGTAACAGTTCTTCAGATAACCACACTCATAAAATTCTTCAGTATAGCAACGTCGCTAAATTCTTATGCGCTTTTTCTTTTTTTTTTTTTTTTTTTGTTCTAAATGCAAACATTTTTTATGGGCAAATCGTCATTCTTTTGCCTTAAACTGAATATGTGCTTGTGGAATTCGGCAGCAGTGGAAGAACTGTGGTAAAATTTCTGCAAAATAGCTAACAGAAAGAACTGTTTTAATCTGATATTAAAGCGATCGCCACAAAATTTCCACCAGAGCGAATGAAATAAAAACAGTTAGTAGTTTTACTGATTGATTTTTTGGAACAAATATCTAATTAAAATGTAAAATATATATGTAATAATATTAAGTAATAAGTAAATGAAGTGAATAATGACTTATGCCATCATGCTTTCGCATCTGCAAAAATCGGTGAATTGAGCTAAAGTGGTTGCGTTAAAACTTAAATACTAAGTTTTATATTCTTAGATTGTATAGAATTTAATTTGATTTGAATTTCTCAAAATTTGAGGGAAAAATTTTGTTTATTGTTTTAACAAATCAGAGCTTTCAATTATTTATTGACTTAACATCCCTAAGCGATATATTGTCGGATGGCAAGTATAAAAATGACTCATTTTCAAACATTCATATTTCTCTTCTATGATGCAAGACCATGATAAATAATAATGGTATGAAAACTTATGTGTTTTAAAAGATTATTGTAAAAATAAAGGCCTGAATACGAAAGGTTCAATAATTCAGTGTCACTCTTCTTATGCAAAGCATTACAGAACCTACGGCTAAAGACATCAATGTGAAAAAGATTGCATTTGCTTAAGTTCTATGCATATAGGGTTGCTTTTATAAATTGCATCTTCTCGGCCAAATGTCTGATGATAATGTGCGTATTATCTTGAAATAAAGCTATTTATCATAGCCGAAGATGTTAAAGTGGACAGATGCATTTGCAAGTATTGGATGAAATATTCAATATTCCGTAATACTTCCATAATACAAGTATTCCGTAATAACGCAATGACTAGAAATGAACAAAACGAGCAAAATTCAATGTTATTTTATCTTTGAACTCAATGAATGGCTCAGTGCATTAAGTGGAAAGCAACTTTGTAAAATCTCATCCAATTAAATCTAAACAATGGAGAGTAGGGTCAGTTGCATAATGCGGAATAAATTTTTACATATTACATGAATATAATTTATTTCCCATACTAAACTGAAATTTTAAGAAAACAGATCAGTTATATATGGTATCATTTAACTATATGTTAGGAAATTATTCACCTTGTAGAGACATTGGATTATTTTTAAAGCAGAAGTGATGAAAAATGAGCAACGCCGTCGCCGGGAAACGAACCACGGACCTCTGGAATACGTGCCCAGCGTGCAGACCACCACACCATGAAGGCACGATAAGAAGGCGAGAAAAATACCTTATAACCTATGCATAAAAAATTCAGAAACATATTATGAATCTTCTCGCTGTATTATATCAAATGCTCTGCAGACATTTTCCCAATCCTGTATATCTGTACAGCTTAGAAATGTTTTATAAAGCAAAATAAATAAAATTTGCAGGAAATGATGCAAGCGAAGGGACATCAAAATTTGCGAAATTTCTGCCCCCCCTCCTCCCTGTTATTTCTTCCCAGTCAATGTCTTCCGGACATCGAAACTTAACAAAGTAATTAAAACATAGCTGACAAGGAAGACAAGATTGGGTTTCGGAAAAGGGATTGCGCAGTTAATTACCGAGTCAGGAAACTTAACGCTTAGACAATGATATATTAACTTCCGAGAAACAGAATTATTTTTGAGAGAGAAAATGTATTAAGACCTTTATGTATCACAAATTTTATGAGGTATGGCTCCCTTATTAGATATAGGTAGTCTTCCTACAACACGGCATCCTGTAACACGGTTTCGCTATAACGATTCATAAATTGCGAGACCCCTCCTACAGTACGGTTTCCTGGTGACCGGAAAAATGTCCACAGGAAAAAAGACAGCCCATAAGGAAATATGTCCCCAGAGAAAAAAGCTCACATGGAAAAATGCTCACGTAAAATTTTTGCATGTACTGTAATATTTTATACCACTGCCCCGTGTACGACACTTTTTTTCCTGTAACTGCCAATAATTAATTTTTGTTTCTTTGCTCTATTTTGGCATACTTTTGATGTGTATCGATAGAAATTGATGTTTGAATGTAGTTATTCAAGTTTGGAGCCACTAAAGTTGTAGAATTTCTGCAGAAATTTAAAATTTTAGAAATAAAATTAACATTTTTAGGCACTTTGATAATGCCACTCAGTTGAACATTATGAAGCAGCCTTCGAAAATTCTCCTAAAACCACAAATTGTTGCGAAGGCTCTCATAACGCACTAAATTCATTATTTAATTGTAGCCATCCCAGTATGTGATTTTTTATTTGCTGAAAAAAGATTTAGCCTCTCAACGTTTGTTATTAGCTAATGTAAATACAGGATGTACTGAAGTAAAAAAAAGAAAACATGGAAACTTACATTTGGTAATCGTGAATCATGTAAGAAATATAATGAAATCGATGATAAAATTAAATATTTTACGTAATTTAAATAAAATAATCATTTTAAATTCTCATTCATTATTCATTATTCTTCTAAATGTTTATATTATAAACTGTGTAACTTATATTTATTATTTTTTTAACAAGTAAAATTGTAATATTTTTTCACTGTATAATTCTCTTTAATTTTTACTTCCTTTCTTCTCTCCTTTTCTTAATTCAAAACGGCCCATTTGTTAATCCTATGTAGCAACTGAACCTACACATAAGTTATAAAGTTTTTGAAATATATACCATAGATATTTTGGTAATTTAAATAATTTTTCTTTAGAAAATTCAAGTAGATGTACAATGTTCAAATGGATTAATTATTGATTCATTAATGTAAGGATATTTCTATGTGAATTATTTATCAGTGGGCTTATTTCCATGTGAGCATACTTCTGTGTGAGCTTTTTTCCGTGTGAACATATTTGTTAAGTGAGCATTTTTCCATGTGAGCTTTTTCTATGTGGATATATTTCTGTGTGGGCTTTTTTTCCTGTGAGCATTTATACCTGTGAGCATTATTCTGTAAGCATTATTCGTGTGGGCCTTTTTCCTGTTGGCTTTTTTCCTATAACACTGTTTCGCTCTAACACGATAAGAAAATTTCTCAAGCAATCCGAATAAATTTAACGAACTCCGCACGAAGTTTCTCCATATTGTGCAAAGCGCCCATTCGAAAATTTCAAAAAGCGTTTTGCAATTCATAGCATAAGAATTCAAGAAGAATTTGCATCGGCTGATTATGAAGCTACTAGGACGCTTCCTGAAAAATTTCAAAAAATTATAGAAGAACAAGGATACACAGCAGTTCAAGTTTTCGATGCCGACAAAACTGGGCTTTAGTGAGTGAGTGAGTGAGTGCACCGCTGGGAAAAAATGCCCAGAGAACCTTTATATCGGAAAAAAGAAAAAACCTGTATTCTGATTTAACGTGTCTAAAAATTGTCTAACGCTACTTTTGTGCAGTATGACTTTGGACTTTATGACAAAACCCTTGTTAATTTATAGATATTTAAATCCTCGTGCACTTAAAGACGTAAATAAAAACACCTTACCTATATACTGGAAAGCAAATCCAAGAGCTTAGGTAGCTGTGAATATATTTAAAGATTTGTTTTTAAATTGTTTTGTGACAGACGCTGAACGTTATTTAAGGCAGAAAATTTGAGCTTCAAGGCGCATATTACTATTACATAATACTCCATGTCACCCACAAGGTTTGAATCATCCCAATGTCAAAATACTGTTCCTACCACTTAACACTACTTCATTACTCCAGCCATTGTATCAAGGCATTATTTATAACTTTAAAACACATTATATAAGAAGAGCATTATAGTAGATTTTAGACGTAACCGATTCAAAATCAGTTAATGTAATGGAAGCTTGGAAGACATTTTCAA